GTGTCACGCCCCCACCGCACTCAACCAGGGAGCGGACTGGTCTCTATATGGGATCTGAACCCTCGGCGGGAGTGCTGCTGCGCTCGCGCGCTCCCAAGCGCCGCACTCTACAGAGTGCGCCACCGGGCCGGCCCGAGAAGAATTTTTAATAAGAGAATTATACTTGAAGACCTTCTGAAAACAGTTTCGGATTAGTCAGAATCATGTAGTAGGAAGGGAAAATCTTCACACCTCATCCCAGAGTTTTTCAGGGTCAAAAACACTGTATCTCTAATTGACTGAGGGAAAAACAGTTGGTAGCCCGAATTGTGGTTCTAGATCAGGCCATTCCCACAAGTCCAGTGGGCAGTGTTTTTTTTTTTTTTTGACCAGCAAGGGGATCACAACCCTCCACACGGACCGCACCGCCTTCAGCCAGTGAGTGCACCGGCCATCCCTATACAGGATCCGAACCTGCGGCCCCAGCCTCGGTGCTCCCCAGCACCACTGCGCTCCTCAGTGCCACTGCGCTCCCAGCGCCGCACTCTCCCGAGTGAGCCACGGGTTCTGCCCCTAGCATTTTTTTTTTTTTCCTTTTTGTCTTTTTTTCGTGACCGGAAATGGATCGCAACCCTNGCGCTGCACCCACACCTCACTCAGCCAGTGAGTGGCCGGTCTGTATGTGGGATCTGAACCCTCGGTGGGAGCGCCACCGTGCTTCCCAAGCGGCGCACTGTAGCAGTGCACCACTGGGCCGGCCCCTAGCATTTGTTTTTAAACACAAATCTTCTAGGAATGCAGAGTAAAAGTGGAGGCAAATTGGAGTCAGTGAGAGTATGTTTGTTTTTCATTATAGTCACTGGATGCCTGAATGTTTTGGAATGGCAGAGTGAACCAGGACATTTTCGTGAGCTTGAGGTGGGAATGGAGGAAACTGAAAGGGGAAACACATGGCGGTCAGAGGTCTACCTGTCTGGTTATCCAGTGGTGAAAGTGTGGGAAGTAGGATGAGTTTGATGGAGTCTTGCCCTCAAGACTAATTGGCATCACTGAACTGTGAGAGGGTTATTAAAAAGGAAAATGCTATTGCTTTTAGGTATACTATGGCTCAGGAACTGGGAGAACAAATAAATAGTAAACAGTCTCTGGGTTTAGAAAAGGTAAAGGAAATATGGCTGATGGGAATGTGGAGTAAACCTACCTGGGTCAATTTACTAAAATGGGTTTAGTCTAAAGTCAGGTTGTTGTAAGGCATCACTCCCTAAATGAGGTGAAAAGTGCTTTTTACATTGATCCCCAGTCACACACTGTTCCAGCTGACACTTCGTTAGGGTATTGATCCTTTGTCAATATTTACCTTTCTACTGACTTAGATCCTGGGACAGTTTTTCTGTCCACCCTTAATGCTTTCCTCTGGGTAAAGGTCATGTAGGGTTATCCTTATGAAACATTTTGAGATGAAAATTTTGTTAGCAATTCAAAATAAGCATAGTGATGCTATATTAGCCTTTGTTCTCTGCTTATAACAGGCTCTAACATTGCCCTATTACACTTATCCATTCAATGAACACGTGTCGTGTTCCAGGAACTGTTTCTAGATGGTACAATTTTGCAGTGACCAAATCATTAAAAAAATTTTTTTTTTTAAAATTTAAGCTGTTACATTCTATTTCACACAACTAGTTATGTATGTTATACATCTGCCCCAAAGCGCACACACACATTCTCCCATGGCCCAATAGAGTTCCCTACTAATTACAAACTTTTAACAGCTTTTGAGATGCAATTCACATACCACACAATTCACCCATTTAAGTGTACAAGTCAATGGTTTTTGTATATATACAGAGTTGTACAGCCATCACCACAATTTTATAACATTTTTATCACCCCCAAAAGAAACTCTGCATTCATTATCAGTCACACCCCATTTCCTCCCACACCTCCTGCTGCAAGCTCTAGGCAAACATTAATCTACTTTCTGTTTCTATATATTTGCCTATTCTGGACATTCATATAAATGTAATCGTACAATATGTGATCTTTTGTTACTGGCTTCTTTCACTCAGCATAATGTTTTCAGAGTTTAT